GCCTTGATCTCTTTATGTTTCCTCTCCGTGGCAAACCACGAGAGATTTACTTTCTCGGCCTCGATTTGGTCAAATACGTGGTAGAGCTGGTGCACTTTGGGTTTGATAATTGCCAGCCCGTACAACCGAATGAGTCCGCCCGCCGAGGGCGGCCGTAGCGGGCCGTTGCATTTTCAACACTCGTTGGAAATACGCTCGCGCAGGAAAGCGGCGACGGTTGCCCGCCTGGCAGCATCCAGGCCATCTCCCTCCCCCGCGCAGGACAGTTGCGACAGTTGCGCGCTTGGTAGCACCCGGGGCTTCGGGCTTCTGTTGTAAAGGATTTCGGGGGCGTCGGTGGATCGCGCCAGCGTCGCTAGCTTCACGGTGGTGCTGCACCGCCACGCTTCTGAGGCGGCCCACGTGGCTCACAGCGCCGTCCCCGAGGCCTGACGGAATACCGAACATCCTTCCTCTGCCTCTCCATCCCCTCCTTCTCCTGCCTCCCACCCCCCACTCCCCCCCCCTCTTCCGATTCGCCCCTGGGGCGAATGTGGCGGGCGACTTGGGGGAGGAGGAAGCCATGATACATGGGGGGTCGTTTCCCTGCAGGCGGCCGAGCAATTGGACTATCTCGCGCAGCAGCTGCAAGCAACCGCGCTCGGCCACGAGCAGCCCCATGGGGGCCAGCAGGGTGTCCGAGAACAGGGTCGCCACTTCAACAACCATTAACGCATCGCTTGCAAAGCCTTTCAAGTGCCCACCATTTTCTGCCAAATGATACTTGAACCACTCCTTGCCCAGGCAAGCCGTTTTGGATGGCCATGCCACCGATCTCTGAAAAGCGTCCAAGTCAGATATGTCAAACACTGGTTTGGCATTGCCATCTTTTATTGCCAGCGCTCTGTGAAAAAAAAAAAACGAGTTCAGGTGGTATTGCCCAACCCCTCCCGATGCACAGAGCACGTGCATCCAGTCTTCGTACATGTGCCGCATTGGCTTCACGTGCGCTCTCATCGATGCGTCGAAAATGAGTCCGTGAGGGTCGTATGTTATCCCAGTCGTCTGTTGAAGGTTTGCGAAATGCGTCTTCAACGAGACGGGCTGTGCCGCGATTATTCTGTCCACTAGATTTTGAAACGACTCGTCGGTATGCATATCAAACTGGCCGGGAACGGCGGTGCAGACGTCCTTGAAGTAGTCGCCCCCCCGTAATCCGCTCACCCTTTGACAACGTTTTGGCACTTGATGCAGGTCCTCGTGCCAGCAGCACTCCTCAGATTAAACGTCTCGACGTGGGCCTTGTAATCCTGCACGAGGCACAAGAGTACAGCTCTGAACGGGAAGTGCCCAGGGCCGCGCGGTAGCAACAGTCCATTGCCCAAGTTGTGGGGGCCCACAAACATCCATTTCAGAGTTCGCTTCACGATCGCAGAAAGCCCCCCAGCGATGTTCTCTTGCATCGTCATCGGTATGAACGTCAATGGGAACCACCCTGATTGCCGTGATCGGTACCAGTGTGGAAAACAATTCAGCGTCCAATAAATACATTGAAAGCTCCCTTTGTGATCGTGTCGGTTAGGGTTCCCTGTGACGCACTCGTCTGTATACAAGACGGCGGACTCGAAATCTGCGCCGATGCCCTGCGCGCAGTTGTCCAGGAACCATGCGAATGCTGGGAACACCGAGCAGAGGCAGAACAGTAGTGCCGAAGGGCTCACGTAGGTGAATGTGTATTCACCTCCGTTATCCAAGGGAATCGTCTCTTCACTCACGAGGTCGCCGACTGGCGTCCACAAGTCTGTCGCGGCCACAAGCTCCTGTCTCATGCGATGTCGTGCGACATTATCGTTCGACTCCGCCTCGCCAGCAAGGCGGGCCGCAGGTCGCCGACTGGCGTCCACAAGTCTGTCGCGGCCACAAGCTCCTGTCTCATGCGATGTCGTGCGACATTATCGTTCGACTCTGCCTCGCCAGCAAGGCAGGCCGCAGCCCGCGCCGAGGCGGACAGCCCAGCTCCAACAACGCGGGATTTCTTACTTGGTGGTTCCATATCGAACAACACGCGAGGCTCCAACCTTGCTTCATGAGCCAAAACGGCTATCGTGGTGAAGGGCGGCGAAGCCTGCCTTTGAGGAGGGAAGAAGAGGCAGGAGGAGGAGGAGCACTGATATCAAGGAGGATCGTTCAAATATGAAGGGCCGCGGGGAGCACGGGGCGCACGAAAGAAGCGACAGCTGCGAGCCTGGCGGCACCACCCCCCCCCGCCCCCCCGCGCAGGACAGCGGCAACAGTTGCGCGTCGAGTGAAACTCCTGGCCTATGTTATACATTAAGTGGGCGTCTAGTGGGTGCATTGTACAAATACGTTGATCTACATTATATATATATATGGATCCCGAGGATGTCGCGACACCCTTCGCGCCTAGGACCCTGGGACAGTTAGCAAGAGGGCAAATTTCATACATGAGTTTTATGTGTTTGATGTTCCTGTGACTACACCCGCGCGAAACAGATAGGTTTTAGTTGCGAACAGTTGAGGTTCAACTGTAAGTGTTTTGTATGTGAGTTGCATCCACTTGTGTTAAGTGTCGCGGAACTCAGATACAAGCGCCCAAGTTCCCCTGCCCACACAGTAGGGGCACCCAAGGGGCCTTAAAAGTGAATATTTGGGGCCTTTCTCTTTCAGGAGGGAAACCACACACACATACACAGACAGACAGACAGACAGACAGACAGACAGACAGACAGACAGACAGACAGACAGACAGACAGACAGACCGACAGACAGACAGACAGACAGACAGACAGACAGACAGACAGACACACAGACACACACACAATTAATCGACGATTCCCCGGAAAATATGGGAAAATATGGGAAGTGGGGGGGAGACAGAAACCCAGAACAGATGGGAACATCTGCGGGCATCTTTTTATGTCTGCGTGCATTTCTCTGTGTCTCCTGGGGCCCCTTTATTCTTCACCGCGCGTGGAGGTCACCCCCCCGCTGCCGCCCGCCGCGGCGGCCAGCCGTCGCCGCCGCCGCGGCCGCCGCCGCGCCGTGGCCGCCGCGGCCGCTGCCGCCGCGGCGGATGGCCGCCGGCAGTTTTGAGTCGGGCCTGGCCCTCTACAGGGGGAATATCGAAGAACAGAAAAGATAAACCCTCCAGATTTCGTAATCAAGGGAGGGGGTCCTGGAGCAGTCTGGGGACGATTGTTTGACCATGTTTGAATGGTTTCGGGCATTTTTTGTCCTCTTCCATTTTTCGCCCAAAATCGGCCTGTAGGGGGCCAGGCCCGACTCTTTACGGGCAGGTAGGAGGTTGCAGATCTGGATTCCCCGATGCGAGAATTCTTCGGGCGAGTCGGGCGGTTTTCCTTCTTCGCTCCTCTGCGGGGGGCGGGCGGACACGCAATCTACGTTCAACGCCTTTCACCCTTGCTTTGACCCACTTCGAAAGGGGGGTGGGAAATGGGGGAGGGTACGAGATCTGCTCCCAGAAGCTGGTTCCCGCATAACCATTATCTCATCACCTACCCTCGACGCGTACTACGGCTGGCGGAACGGCATGCTTCTCATTCTCCTCCGCTGAATCATCATCGCATCGCCTGCCCTCGACGAATCGAAGCCCGCAGAGCGGGAGGCTCAGCCTGGCCCCGCAGATTTGCCATCCATGGGCGTTAGGGGTGCTGCCTCGACAGGGGTCGGGACCAAACGTGGCAATGTTCCTCGGGGCGCCCCTCGGGGGATTCGGTGGTCTTGGAGGTCAGCTAAGGGCCTTTTCGGGCCCATGGGGCACGACAGGCGTGAGGGGTGTGCCGACTCGAGGCTCCAAGGAGCCGTCTCGGGGGCCAGCCGAGCGGGCCTCCAGGGGGAGGCTTGCCCGCAGATTTTGCAATCAATGGGTGTTAGGGATGCTGCCTCGACGAGGGTCGGTACCAATCGTTGCAGTGATTCTTGGGGCCATGTTGGCGTCCCGTGGGGGGTCGAACGGCCTCGGAGCGCAGATGACTCGTCTTTCACGTGTCCCACAGGGTGTGGAGCAAGAAACAGGTGAGGGTTATGCCGAAGTGCCAGAGCCGTAACCATGAAGGTGTTGCTCACTCTTATTGGTCCGCGTCCCAGATAAATGTCAGAGAGGGAAATGCGTGAGGAGTGCGCCGAAACGAGGACTTCGCAGCTCTGAGGTTGAATCTTTCTCGTGGTTTTACATGTCCCAGGAGCTGTCATTGGGTGTTGTATGTGCAAGGGGGGCACGGGAGGCCGTCGTGTGTGACAAGCGTCCCCAAGCTTCGGAGGGCTGTGATGGGGATGAGGATGATGATTGCGAGGAGGAGGACGTGGTGGAGGAGGAGGAGGAGGAGGAATTGGAGTATCAGCAGAAGAAAGAGAAAGACCGTCACATGTGGCACATTTCGCATTCATGTCTTGTTGAGCTCTCATTGGGCTCTGTTTGGGGCTCCTTGGGTGGAGGCAAAGAATAACACATACGTCGCTTGCGGAACGGGGCGATTTTAGGTGATATAGAAGGTGCAACCATACACAACCGACGAGTTCTTACCGACCGGTCGCCAGGAGGAAAGGGGGGGTGCCTGACAAAGTCCCCACGCTTCGGCCAGGAAGGGGGGCTGGGACACCTCTTGTGGACATCACGACAGCGCTCTTTGCGGGGTCGGTTGGTTGGCTGGTTGGACATTTGGTTGGTTGGTTAGTTGGCTGCTGGTCGGTCGGACGGGGCCACAGGAATACGTTGAGTCAGCCCAGACCAGCCGGGCCGCGAGCATAGGCAGCACCGTTCGGCGCACTTCTGCAGACAGCGTGGACGGCTCAGCCACGAAAGATGTGAACCATAGAACTAAAGTTCTGTGATTTGTGAGCCTGTCCATCACGGTTGCAAGTGTTCTCCAGCCAGCGTCCTCGTTTCTCTGTTGCCCTTCCTCGTCCTGCGGTTTCTGCAGCTGCTGCTCCCCGCGTGCATCCTCCTGCGTTCGTGCCGACTGCTGCTTCTCCTGCTCCTCAGCCGTTTTGGCCGACCATGGAGACCAATGAAGCGATGCGGCAGCCTGCCGCCGAGGCGCCACTCGCCGACCTCCGCCTAACGAATCCATGCAGGACGCCCCGCTCCACGACTCCGAGACGCCTCACAGCGGGTCCCCGCTCCTTGAGCCCAAGCAGGAGGTCTGGAGGATCATCCGGCCCGTAGCGGAGGCAGACGGTCCACAGTGCACAAGTGGGTCGGGCCGGGCGGAAGGGGGGGATTGGGAAAGAAGGGGTTACGACATCTGCTACATGCAGCCGGTTTCGGCCTCACCGAGGGGCCCATGCCTCGATACAGGGCCGCCTCCGGCGCCGGGAGGCGTCCAGAAAAGTCAGCTACGTGAGCTGATTCTCAAGCTCCCTTTTGCTAACCCCCCCTTTCGCCCGACCCGACTGGGGGAGCTGTGGCCCCGAGTCCCCTGGGGGGCCCCGCCGGATTCGGCACCTCTCGAGAGAGCGTCGGTACGATGGGTCCCCCCCGCGGTGAGGGGGTGAGGGCCCTTCGCGGGCGGAGGAGAGCGTGGTCGTAGTCCGCGGCCTCGTGGACCAGGCCCCCGAGGGCCGCGCGGCCCCGCGGGTGCGGGGCCGTTTCTTCGCGGCTGCCCCGCGCGGAGCGCAGCCCTGCGACCGCACCGCCGCAGGGCCGCGCTTCGGAGTCCAGACCACGAGAGTTCGGATGCGGGATGCGTTCGCCACGCGCGGGCCACGGCTCAGGGGAGCCAGAGGGACCCATAACTACCGCTACCTTTGCTCTGTTTTCCCCTGTCGGTCGAGCAGTGGCGAAGCGTCTTGGCCTGCCTATAGGCCCACCAGAACATGAATGATCTTAGAACCGCTTGTGGTTTGAACGACATGTTCTTAGAACATGCCTGGCTGATACTGTATTCACGTAGCGCGTCAGGTGTATGTTCTGAGGAGGGTGCTTTCTTTCTGAGACCCTGTCTGGTTTCTGAAAGCATTTCGTGGCAGGCCTATACGCATGCCGGAACGGTCGGTTTCTGCTCAAATCGGTGCCTCTTGGCTTCCCCAACAGCCACCCCCCGCTGTGGCTCGCCGGAGAGAGGCCCGTCGCGTCCGGACCAAGCGGACCGTGGCGTCGCTCGTCCTCGGGCAGGGCTCCTTGGCCGAGGCGCGGCTGTTCCAGTGGGGGGCCCGGGACGGCCTGCCGCTGCGCAGCCTTTGGGTCGCGTGGTACACTGGCCTCGTCGTCGGCTTTCTCGCGCTCGTTGAGCCGCGGTCCCCTGGCCACCCTGAGGGCTTCGGGGGGGAGGGGATCCTCGAGGAAGGAAGCACGCCATCGACATAAACTGTTGGCGCGCCGCGCGGATTTCTTGGATCCGCGCGGAGCGCCAAGAGTTTCTGCTTAGATCAAACATTTCAGGCCTCCCAGAGGGGGTCCGAGTCGGTGGCGTTGGAGGATCGTGCCGCATCGCCGCTGCATCGGCGATGCGGCTAGATGTGGAGCCCGATCTTCTCCATGCTGACGTCGCCGCTGCATCGCCGGCGTTGCCGCTGCATCGCCGACGTCGCCGATGCACCGTCGATGCATGGGCGATGCGCCCTGATCCTCGTGAACCCATCTACTCGGACAACTATGCAGCAGGCCTCTGAGTACTGAGGTTATTGGGCGCGTTTGGCATTTTTCGTGAACCTCTGGAGGCCCCTGCCAGAGCTCCAGGCGTCCAGGGACCTCCAGGGGATCACCAGGGACTTCTGGATAGGACGGGGCAAGAACCACAAAGCAAGCCTTCCAGAGGCCTAGGACCAGGCAAACTTACACGTCGTCAGTCAGATCAGATGTTTGTTTTGCCTCTGGAGGTCCGTTTGGTTGTTTCTGTTGGGCTCCCCATGTGGCCCTCGCGGTGGCAAAGCGACCACGGTTTAGAGGTTGTTCCAGCCTATTGCGTCTGGGTGGCCACACTCATGGTCCCACTGCCTTTGGTGACTGTGTCCTTGCTCTCAAAGGACCTGGTATTGGAAATTCTGCGTGAGCTCGACTTCTACCTCATTCAGATACTGCAGGGCGTTGCTCTCTTGCACGGGCTCGTCGAGACCTGGGAGGATGAGCGCCGCGCCTTTTGGTTCCTTTATGTACCCAGCTTGGTCGTTGCCCCGATGGTGGACGCTTACCCTGCGAAGTATCGGCCCCACTTTCTTCAGCTGTACTTCGTGGGGATGCTCTGCATCCTGGTCGGCTGGAGCGCGTTCGAGCTCTCCAAAAAGAGCCTGCACTTCTTCACGTACAACGTGGGCGACCTCGCGACCCTGTCCCTGTTCTACCTCCGCCAGATCTACGCGGCCACCTGGCAGCAGGACAGCTTCGTGCTGATCTCGTGCGCGATGTGCACGGCACACGAGCGCGTCAACCTCGACGTCCTCGGGAGCGGGCTGTCGCCCGAGCCGCAGACCGTCCGGGTGGCACCGCCGCGCTCGTACAGCTTCAACGCGCAGACCCACACCCTGAGCGACTGGCGCCGGGCGCCGAGCCTGGAGGACCATGAGATCCGACCTCGCGAGAAGTCACGACTGGAGCCCCCGACCCCATCTCTCTGCGCCATCTTTCGAGCCGCATCGGTCTGTGATGGACCTGGGGCCTGGAACCGGGCGAAAACGCTTCCTCTAGGGCCTGATCCCAGTGACCTAGCGAGTTCTCAGCGCCACGGCTCCCGAAAGCGATCAAAAACGCATCTCGGGGATGACCGTTCTGACCAGATTTCCAAGGCGTCTCCAGCGGTGGAGACGAGGGCCTCCCAGGAGGCCCAAGGAGGCAAATCCAGGCAGCATCGACATCTTTTTTAGGTGTTCGATCATGGACCTCTCGATAACCGCAATCCTCAAGCTTGCACGCCGAAATCCCCGGGAACCCGTCGAACATCGATGTCTGCTTTAGGTGTTTGATCATGGACGCCTCGGTAACCGCAATCCTCCAGCTTGCACGCCGACATCCCTGGGAAACCGGCGAACATCGATGTCTGCTTTAGGTGTTCGATCATGGACGCCTCGATAACCGCAGTCCTCCAGCTGTCACGCCGACATCCCCGGGAAACCGGCGAAAATCGATATCTGTTTTAGGTGTTCGAGCATGGACCCCTCGGTAACCGTAATCCTCCAGCTTTCACGCCGACATCCCCGGGAAACCGGCGAATCGACATCTGTTTCAGGTGTTCGATCATGGACGCCTCGGGAACCGCAATCCTCCAGCTTTCACGCCGACATCCCCAGGAAACCGGCGAACATCGATATCTGTTTTAGGTGTTCGACCATGGACGCCTCGATAACCGCGATCCTCCAGCTTTCACGCCGAAATTCCCGGGAAACCGGCGAACATCGATATCTGCCTCAGGTGTTCGATCATGGACCTCTCGATAAGCGCAATCCTCCAGCTTTCCCGCCGACATCCCCAGGAAACCGCCGCAAATCTATATCTGCTTTAGGTGTTCGATCATGGACCCCTCGATAACCGCAATTCTCCAACTTTCACGCCGAAAGTCCTGGGAAATTGGTGAACATGGATATCTGCTTTAGGTGTTCGATCCTGGACGCCTCGGTAATCGCAATCCTCCAGCTTTCACGCCGACATCCCTGGGAAACCGGCGAAAATCGATAGCTGTTTTAGGTGTTCGAGCATGGACGCCTCGATAACCGCAGTCCTCCAGCTTGCACGCCGACATCCCCGGGACACCGTCGAAAATCGACATCTGTTTCAGGTGTTCGATCATGGACGCTTCGGTAACCGCAATCCTCCAGCTTTCACGCCCACATCCCAGGGGAACCGGCGAAAATCGATGTTTGCTTTAGGTGTTCGATCATGGACGCCTCGGTAACCGCAATCCTCCAGCTTTCACGCCGACATCCCCGGGAAACGGGCGAATCGATAGCTGTTTTAGGTGTTCGATCATGGACGCCCCGATAGCCGCAGTCCTCCAGCTTTCACGCCGACATCCCCGGGAAATCGGCGAAAATCGATATCTGCTTTAGGTGTTCGATCATGGACCCCTCGATGACCGCAATCCGTCAGCTTCCACGCCGACATCCCCGGGAATCCGGCGAAGACCGCGGGAAACCGCCGAGGAGCGCCGACATCCGCCCGAAGTCCGCCCGAAGACGGCCCGAAGATGGCCCAGGCGCGATGGGTTACGAGGGGCGAATCCAGCGGTGGAGGCAAGGGCCTCGAGGCCCAGAAAGGCGAAGGACGGCGGCGACGACGGTGAAGACGACGACGACGGCGACGAAGCCGACGACGCCGACGACGACGACGACGCCGACGACGCCGACGACGACGACGACGACCACGACGACGGCGACGACGACGACGACCACGACGACAACGACGACGACGACGACGACGGCGACGACGACGTCCTCCGAAGGACGACGCCGCGGCCCCCCCCGACGCGATCTCGGAGGCCCAGAGCTCGGAGCCCGAGGGCTCCTCCGAGGATGGGGGGCCCGACGGCCCCCCGAGCGGCGCGGCGGCGGCGGGGCCCGCGCCGAGGCGCGGCGGCGCTCCCGCGGCGGTCGCCAGGGGTCGGCACGAACGAGATGGGCACGGAAAGAGTGGGCACAATGCCACGACGGGCGTTTTTTCTGCCCTTGGGGGCCCCTCCTCCTCCTCCTCCTCCTCCTCCTCCTCCTCCTCCTCCTCCTCCTCCTCCTCCCCCTCCTCCTCCTCCTCCTCCCAGCCTCTCCCACTCTCGCCCATGCTCTCCCCTCGCCCCCCCCTGGGGGCCCCTGCCGGGCCTCGGGACCGTGAGAAAACGAATCAGGAGGAAGAGCCGGCCCCAGGGAGTAGGTCGAGGCTTCTGTCCGCACGAGCGAAATGGGCACGGAAGGAATGGGCACAATGCCAAACAGCAGTTCCTGTTCATTTTGAACAGGATTCGCTGTCCGCGCCGCCGCGGCCTGTGTCTACTCGAGACAGAAGGCCGCCTGCCCAACAGCGGCCGCCGTTGGTTTGGGACAACATCTGTTGTTGGGCATCGTACCCATTTTTTCCGTACCCATTTCGGGCGTCCAAACAGGGGTCGGTCGGCCACACGCAGAGGGGGGCAGGGGTAGGGCTGGACCTAAACGGTGTTTTGGCGACTTCGTGGGCCGTTTTCGTGTCGACTTCGTTTTGCGGTAGAGGTGGATGGAGGGCAACATGAGGGAAGACGAAAACAGAACGAGAACGAGAAACACCGTGTAGGTTCAGCCCTCGGCAGGGGGGAAGGCTTCTTGGAAGCACCCCTGCTTCTGAGGAGGCGCGGGCCTCCTCTGTACCTGTGCGGCCGGCGCCTTCTGAGAATCAGCCTCCTCCGACGGAGCCTTTTCCCCCTCCCCCCCGCCGCCCTGTGCGCGCCGCCAGGTCGGGGGCGACGACGGGGGCGAGCAGCCCAGGGGAGGGCAAGCCTTGCGTTTGGGGGCGCCTTCTCCTTTTTTCTCGGCCGTGGCCCTGCCCCGCCCCCCCTCCCTGCGCGGTGGCACGGCTTCGCTCGGACGGCGCGCCCCCGTCTCGGACCTTCCGCCGGCGCTGACGCCCCCTGCCTCGCCGCCGACGCAGAAAACAAGTTTGTAGAGCCCCGAATCATCAGGGGTAGCTCGGGTCAGGGCTAACTCGGGTTCGTTTTTTCGGGATTCCCCGGGCCCGAGTTGCCCCGGGTAATTCGGGCGTCCAGAGCCCCAAAGCATCAGGGGTAACTCATGTCAGGGCTAACTCGGGTTCGTTTTTTGCGGAGATCCAAACCCGAGTTACCCCGGACCCGAGTTACCCCGGATAACTCGGGCGCCCAAAGTATCTGGGGCGACGCAGAAAACAAGGGGCCTTACGCACCACTCGCTGTTCGGGGCGAGCAGCCCAAGGGCGTCGACGGTGCATAGGCCCTCGGCGAGGCTCCCGGGCGAGTCGCGCGCAGTGCCCCCGCCTTTGGGCTGCTCGCCCCTTATGTCCTCGCCGCCGCACGGGGGGAGAGCGGGTCCTTTGGGGGGAACGGGCCCCGACGTGTTGTGTGCGTTCGGGGGCATAGGCTGTGAATAGAACCCGTATAATACCCTCATATATACTCCTTATCCTCACTCTCCTGCGCCTGGCCGTTTGGGCTCAGGTATTGGCATAGATCGATCAGACCTTTGATCGTGCAGGAGGAAAAGATATCCATCTTCCCTCCTTTCCTCTACCAGCGGATCAGGGGTTCTGTACCTTTGTACTCCAACCCCATACACATAGGCTCCCGGACGAATCACGTTCAGTGCCCGCCCTTGGGCCGTTCGCCCCTTGGCCTCGCCGCCGAACGGGGAGAACACGGGCCCCGAGGGGAACGGGCCCCGACGTGCGTTTTGTGTGCATCTGGGGGCTCGGGGGCCTCGACGGGCCCCGGGACCGGCAGGTTAGGGTTTAGGGTTTAGGTTTCCGGGTTTAGGGTTTAGAGTTTCGGGTTTCGGGTTTAGGGTTTAGGGTCTACTAGGCGTGGCCACGAGTACCCCGTGACCGCGAACCCACCTGCGGTGGCCGTCAGTCCCACCCGCAAGCCACCCCCCCAAGAACCGCGTCGTGTACAGCGTCGACGACGACGACGACGACGACGGCGACGACGGATGTGCGATCCAGTTGGCACGCGAGTGGTGTAACGGGCGGGACGAGTCGGGTCGGGCGGAAGAGATTCTGCACGCATGTGCAGGAAACGCTACTCGGTGGAAGCGGAAGGCACTTTGTATTTTTTTATTTTGTTTTTTTTTTTTCTTTTTTTTTTTTTTTTTTTTTGGTTTTTTTTTTCTTTTTTTTTTTTTTGTTTTTGTGTTTTTGATTTGTGTGTTTGTGTGCTTTTCTTTTTGTTTATTTTGTTTTTGTTGATTTTTGTTTTTTTGTTTTTTTTGTTTTTTTTTGTTTTTTTTTCCTCTTTTGTATTGTAAAATACAAGAAATTCTGCACGCATGCGCAGGAAGTGCATATCTGCAGTAGATGGAGCGGGTTTACATAAGAGGGGCGCAGCTTGCGCGGTAAAAAAATGAGATTCTGCACGCATGCGCAGGAAATGCCATCTTTTGCAATGCATGGGGCCGGGTCGCGACGGGGACTGGGCACTTTGTGGCGTAAAAAATAAGATTCTGCACGCATGCGCAGGACATGCTATTTTTTGCAGTAGATGAGGCCGGATCGCGACGGGGGCTGGGCACTTTGTCATGTAAAAAAATAAGATTCAGCACGCATGCTCAGGAAATACTATTTTTTACCGTGGATGGAGCGGGGTTGCATACGGGCCGTTTTTATGGTAACTAGGGTTTAGTAATCATAGGATTAATAATTTAGGGTTTAGAGTCTACCAGGCTTGGCCACGATTACATCTTGACCGCGAACCCACCTGCGGTGGCCGTCACTCCCACCCGCAAGCCACCCCACCATAAAGATCATCTCTCCCCTCGTTCTAACCACATCGAATACAGCGTCGACGACGACGACGACGGCGACGACTGATGTGCGATCCAGTTGGCACGCGAGTGCTCTCACGGGCGGCGAGTCGGGCAGGCGGACCCCAACGGACGGGACGGGTCGGGTCTGGCGGGAGGAGCCTACTTTCGGGGACCCATGATGTGCTATGCCATGCTATAGTCCGGTGGCGGGATAGGCATGGGATAGGTCCCCAAAAAGTGGGGACCCCTATGTGTTGTCTTTTACTGATACTTGCCCTTGACCTGTCCCGCCACTGTGCTATAGCATGACATAGATCGCCTATCACGACACTGTGCTATAGCATGGCGTAGCACAGCATGGGTCTTGTGAGTGCTTTTCTGTGCATGCGTTCTGTCAGAGGGAGCGGCCAAACCCATGATGTTCGGCCTCATTCTTGGTTCAGGAGCTATCGTTTGCTCATAACCTCGTCCTCTGCAGTTGGTTCTATAGGGCATCCTTTGCATATTTGATGTGGCACTCTCGCACGTTCTATTGTTTTCTGCTCCGTGTCTATGATTCATTTGTGCTCTCCGCGATTGCAGACATGTGCCTCACTTGGTCTGTCTGCTATGGTCCCGTTTTTGTCCTCGACAGTGCTATCGCTGGCGTTCGTGTGGTAGATTTTCATCCTGTTGCTCCCCTGCGGCATCCCCGCGCCGCACGGCGGTTTGTCCGGGGTCCACGCGTATGACTGGATATCACACTCCGGCTTTAAACTGTTCTGGTGTGGGTGGGGTGGGGGTCTGTGCTATAGCATGGCATAGCACAGCATGGGTTCCCCAAAAAGTGGGGGCCCCTATGTGCGCGTTGCTTTTTACTTTTGCTTGCCCTATGCCTATCCCGCCACTGTGCTATGGCATGGCATAGCACAGCGTGGGCCCCCAAAAAGTGCGGACCCCCATATGCGCGTTGCCTTGCACACTTGCCCGAGGCCTATCCCGCCACTGCGCTACAGCATGCCATGGCACCGCGCGGGTCCCCAAAAAGTGGGGACCCTCATGTGCGCGTTTCCTTGTATCCCTATTGCCCTGGGCGCACAGCATGGGTTCCTAAAAAGTGGGGGCCCCTATGTGCGCGTTGCCATGTATTTTTATTTGCCCGATGCCTATCCCGCCACTGTGCTCTAGCATGGCATGGCACAGCGCGGTCCCCCAAACAGTGGGGACTCCAATGTGCGCGTTGCCTTTACCCCTATTGCCTTAGGCCTGTCCCGCCACTGTGTTATGGCATGACATAGCACAGCGTGGGTCCCGAAAATGTGGGGACCTCTACGTGCTCGTTGCTTTTTACTCGTGCTTGCCCTAGGTTTGTCCCGCCACTGTGCTACAGTATGGCCTGACCCCTATGTGCGCGTTGCCTCTTATTATTTGCCCTATGCCTATCCCGCCACTGTGCAATAGCATGGCATAGCACAGCATGGGTCCCCAAAGAGTGGGGACCCTCATGTGCGCGTTGCCCTTTACTGTTACTTGCCCTATGCCTATCCCGCCACTGCGCTACAGCATGGCATAGCACAGCATGCGTTTCCAAAACGTAGGGGGCACCCATGTTCGCGTTGTCTTTTGCTGTTACTTGCCCGAGGTCTATCCCGCCACTGCGGCATAGCATGGCATAGCACATCATGGGTCCCCAAAGCGTGTAGACCCCTATGTGTGGGTTGTCTTTTCCACATACTTGCCCTCGGCCTATCCCGCCACTGTGCTATAGCATGACATAGCACAGCATGGCCCCCCCCAAAAGTGGGGACCCCTATGTACGCGTTGCCTTTTACTCTTACGAGCCCTCGGCCTATCCCGCCACTGTGCTATAGGATGGCATAGCGCAGCATGGGTCCCCAGAAAGTGGGGACCCCTATGTGTCGCAAGAGTTCGCGCCTCTGTGTGGGTGTGCTGCTGCGCAGGGCTATCATGCCTGTTCGCGTGCGTCCCCTCGCCTGCTCATCTTTATGCCCATGCGTCTGCAGTTGGTTCTATAGAGCATCACCTTGCATATTTGATGTGGCACTCTCTCACGTTTTGTTGTGGTATGTGTATATTAGTCATTCGTGTTATCCGCGATTGCAGACATTTGCCACACTGGGTCGTTCTGCTATGCTCCCGTCTTTGTCCTCAACAGTGATTGCACTTTCGCTGGCGCCAGTGCGCTCTATTCTCCTCCCTGCTGCTCCATTGCGGCATGCCCCGCGCCGCGCGGCGGTTTGGCCGGGGTCCACGCGTAGGAATGGATACGATACTCGTGATCTATATCGTTTTGGTGTGCGTGGTTGTGGGGTTTCACCGTGCTATAGCATGGCATAGCAAAGCATGGGTCCCCAAAGAGTGGGGACCCCTACGTGCGCGTCGTCTTGTACTGTTGCTTGCCCTTGGTCTATCCCGCCACTGTGCTACAGCGTGGCATAGCATAGCATGGGTCCCCAAAAAGTGGGGGCCTCTATGTGCGCGTGGTCTTCTGTTGTTACTTGCCCCATGCCTTTCCCGCCAATGCGCTAAACCATGTCATAGCACGGCATGGGTCCCCAGACAGTGGGGGCCCCTATGTGCGCTGCGTCTTTTACTGTCACTTGCCCTAGGCCTCTCCCGCCACTGTGCCATAGCATGGCATGGCACAGCATGGGTCCCCAAAAAGTGGAGACCTCTATGTGCACGTCGTCCTTTTTACTGTTTCTTGCCCTCGGCCTATCCCGCCACTTTGCTATCGCATGGCATAGCAAGGCACGGGTACCCAAAAAGTGGGGACCACTATGTGCGCGCCGTCTTTTACACATACTTGTCTCAGGCCTATCCCGCAACTTTGTTACAGCTGTCATAGCACAGCATGGGTCCCCAAAAAGTGGGGACCTCTATGTGCGCGCTCTTTCCTGTTACCTGCCCTGGGCCTATCCCGCCACTGTGCTATAGCATGGCATAGCACAGCATGGGCTCCAAAAAGTGGGGACCCCTATTTTTTTTTTCACTGCTAACTACCCTGGGCCTATCCCGCCAGTGTGTTATAGCATGACATATCTATTCATGGGCCCCCAAAAAGTCGGGACCTCAATGTGCGCGTTCGTTTACCTTTACTTGGCCCTAGGCCTACCCCACCACTGTGCTATAGCATGGCATAGCACAGCGTGGGTCCCCCAAAAGTGGGGGCCCCTATGTGCGCGTCGTCTTTTATAGTTATTTGCGCTGGGCCTATCCCGCCAGTGTTCTGCATTGCATAGCACAGCATGGGCCCCCCAAAAGTGGGGACCCCAATGTGCGTGTCGTCTTTTATTGTTATTTGCCCTATGCCAATCCCACCACTGTGCTCTTGCATTGCATAGCACATCATGGGTCCCCCCAAAAATGGGGATCCCTAGGTGCGCGTCATCTTTTATTGTTAAGCGTCCGCGGCGCATCTCTACGTTCTGTGCTATTATTGTTCATTCACGATCAAGACGTGGGGATGATCCATCTCTGGTTTCTTGGTTATTGCATCAGAACAGCAGTCTTTCTTTTTCAAATTGGTGACTTTTCTTTATGATGTGTGCGATTGGAATATTTGGTCACCCCTCCAAAACAGTTGGGGTCTGCATTGCATGTGTTGTGTTATTGCAGCACAGCTGCACGTCGCACACAGTGGGCAGTCATGTGCTATTCTCTTAGCATCCAGACAGAGTGTGCTTGACATTCCCTCTAAAATATTTCATCTGCCGCAATTGAGCATCCAAGCAGGCAGCGCGCCCGTGCCCTCGCGCCAGCTGCCGGGTGGGGCGTTGCCTCCCCAGCAGCTTTGCCATGTCTGGTCGAAAGCGCCCCGCGGCGGCGCTCCCGCGCGTGGGCGACGCGCGCGATCACGCTGACCTGGTCTGGGACATCATGGAGGAGTTTCCGGATTGGGGCTATAAGCGCGTCGGCGCCCGGCTTGGCGAGCGCCTGGGCGTGAGGCTGGAGGGCTCTGACAACCAAGCGGTGCTGCGGCTGCAGAAGGCCGAGACCGCTGCTCTTGGCGCGGATCGCCAGGCTTCTGAGCTCTTCTCTGGGGACGCGCGGGAGCACGTGGACTCTATCAAGGAGCCCGCGGCCTCGCATCCGGAGTTGGGGTACAGGGCCATTGGCCGCAAGCTGGCTGATAAGCTCAGGGTGAAGCTATCTGGCGCCCGCTTGCAGGTCCTCAGACGCATTATGACCGACCTCTCCGAGGGCCGCGCGGCGGCGGACGTGGCAGAGCGGGAGGAGTTCAACGGGGACATGCGGGACCACGTTGACGCTATTAGAGCACTCGTGGTGGTTCATCCTGGCATGGGCTACAAGGTCATTGCCCATGAGCTCCAGCGGCATCTCCGCGTGAAGCTATCGCATGCCCACCTCAGTGTCATCAGGCGCATCGCGACGGGGATCTCGGAGGGCCGCGCAGTAGCCGGCGCGCAGCGGGAGGGCGAGGAGCACGGGGCCTTCGCCGTGGACTGTCGCGACCACGTGGCCACCATCAAGGAGCTCATGATGCGTCACCCCACCATGGACTTTGAGGGTATCGCCCACGAGATTGAGAGGAAGCTTCAAGTGGAGTTATCTGATGCCCAGAAGCGGGGAATCCTTCGTGTCATGGCCGAGATCTGCATCGAGCTCGTTGCTGAGGATGTGGCGATGCCAGAGCAGACGGACCTCGAGGACTTTACAGGGGATGTGCGAGAGCACGTGGACGCTATCAAGGAGCTCGTGGCCTCGCACCCCGAGTTGGGGCACAGGGCCATTGCCCGCGAGCTGGCGGAAAAGCTCGGGGTGAAGCTATCGCGGGCGCACCAGGTGGTCATTCAGCGCATCATGACCGACCTCTCCGAGGGCCGCGCGGCGGCGGACGTGCCGGAGTGGGGGGAGTCCAACGGGGACATGCGGGGCCACGTTGACGCTATCAGAGCACTCGTGGTGGTTCATCCTGGCATGGGCTACAAGGGCATTGCCCATGAGCTCCAGCGGCATCTCCGCGTGAAGCTATCGCATGCCCACCTCAGTGTCATCAGGCGCATCGTGGCGGGGATCTCGGAGGGCCGCGCAGTAGCCGGCGCGCAGCGGGAGGGCGAGGACTACGCGGCCTTCGCCGTGGACGTGCGCGACCACGTTGCCACCGTCAAGGAGCTCATGATGCGTCACCCCACCATGGACTATGAGGGCATCGCCCACGAGCTGGAGGAGATGCTTCAGGTGGAGCTATCTGATGCCCAGAAGCGGGGAATCCTTCGTGTCATGGCCGAGATCGGCATCGAGCTTGTGGCTGAGGATGTGGCGATGCCAGAGCAGACGGACCTCGAGGACTTTACAGGGGATGTGCGGGAACACGTGGACGCTATCAAGGTGCTCGCGGCCTCGCACCCCGAGTTGGGGTACAAGGGCATTGCCCGCAAGCTGGCGGAGAAGCTCGGGCTGAAGCTATCGCCCGCGCACCAGCTGGTGATTAATCGCATCGTGATTGAGATTTGGAGGGCCGTCCGGCGGTGGGCGCGTCTATGCGACAGCAGCCTGAGCGGCGGCACTTTTGCGACTTCACCGGGGACCTGCGGCAGCACGCGGACATTATCAAGGAGCTCATGACGCTGCATCCTACTAAAGGTCGGCGTCAAATTGCTGCGGAGTTTGAGATTCGGCTCCAGAAGAAGCTAACCGCTGCCCACTTGTCCATAATTCGGCGCATCATGATTCGCCATGGTATTCTGTCTTACGAGTTCCTGTCGGGCACTCCAGGGACTAGTCCAGGGCCGTTGTGCAGGGACTAGTCCAGGGCCGTGCGAAGCCTGCGGCGAGGCGCCAGGCCGTGCAGGAGCACTATGAACGGGGTGTCTCTCTTGCGGTGCTGGGACGCTGGATGTCTGAGCGCTATGCGCCCGATCGCGGCGACTGCCCTGTGCGGCGAGTGTGGCAGGGCTGGGGGGGGCGGCGGGGGGGGCGCATCAAATCCGATGTTCACCACTGGGGGCCCGCAGGGTTTTCTATCATTATGTCGTGGCTGTCGGCATGTTGCTATGTGCACTTTGGACTTGGCCGATCTCGGATCTGTCCAGTGTGCCATGGGTTCGATTCTCGCTTCTGGGATCTATTCAGTCGGCTTCCAAGGGTCTTGCATTGTTACCACGCGCGTTTTTTTGGGGCCCGACTCTATCTCGCACTCCCAGTAGGATGTTTTGTCCTGGCTGGTCCGTCTGGGCCTATTCGTTTATTAATGCGCAGCCTCAGGACGAGTGCGTCGACTGCGCTCGCACCTACCGGGCTCGCCTCGCGGGTGCTAAGACTGATGAGGACACCGCCCTGCAGGCCATCATCAAGTCCGTGCGCGGCGAGGCGGTGCCGGTCTGGATGCTGCAGGAGGCGCTCCGCGGCACTGCGTTCGCCGTCTTCCTCGATGCCGATATTGTGACCATCGCGGACAGCTTTCGCAGTGCTCCTTGCCGTTGGAGGCGCCCCTGTGGCCGCTGCCCTCGGAGATCGAGGCGGGCGTCAAGACCGAGCAGCTGCGCGTCGTGCCGCAGCGGAAGCACTGGCCCGTCTATCTTCCGGCAGCGCAGCGGTTTGTTACTGCGTATGCTTTCAGCGCCCGTCTGGCGTCCATGCGCGACGCCATGCGCCGCGGCCCTGTAGATGCCATGGACGCGGAGGAATTGTCGGTCTTGGTGCAGGAGTTTGCAGACTATGAGCAGTACGTTCGCGAGCATGGCGCTGAGGGGATAGTCAGCCTCCTGGACATCGCGAAGGAAGAGGCTGCCTCTATCACGCCCTACCTGCTCGTCGTCACGAAGCAGAAGGAGCGCGGCTCCGTGGCCAGGGGCCCCACCTACAACTGGAAGAAGACCCAGGTGTGCCGCGTCAACTACAAGCGCGAGGACCTGGAGACGTGTGGGGCCATGACTCCCAGGGCGCGGGCTGCCTACGACTGGCTCATGGTGCACAATCGCACCTATCGTCGGCACGCGACGCAGCAGAAGCGCACGCTGTCCTACCCGGAGGATGAGCGGGAGATGTTCATCGCGACCTACCGGCTTTTTGTTTGTTTGCTTTTGTGCTGATTGCTTTCATTTTGCTTTGTGTGCGTTTTGTGTTTTGCTGATGTTTTGGTCTCGGTTGTTTTCTTGGGGTTTGCTGCATTTCGTTGTGATGCGCTTTTGCTTCTGGCTTTTGTTGTGTTGCATTTGGTTGCCCTGTTTTTATTCTTTGTACTTGCTTTTTTGCTTTTTTATTGGGTGTTCTTTGTTCATTTTTTATTTTATTGTGCTTTGCTGTATATCCTTTTGCTTTGCTGGATTTTCTTGTTTGTTGTTACAGCAAGCTGTCGTGTTTGCTCTGTTCGGTTCTTTGCTTTATGTGTTTGTTGTCTTGTTGTCCCTCTTTCCTGTTGGGTGGAGGTGGGTTTGATCCCTGCAGAGCCGGGGCATAGAGGTCGCGCTCTTCCCCGTGCTCTACCCCTGGGAGATCTATTCCGACAGCGACGTGCGGGGCTGGGCCGGGGACCGCAAGCTGATGAAGAGCTCTCAGCTCCCGTCTATGAAGAAGGCGTTCCTGCGCAAGGTGCGTTCTCGGTGCCGCACCTATGGCGACGCGGAGGCTGTGCCTGATCTGGCCTTCCTGCTATACGACATGGCCACCGCGCAGAAGATCTCGGCGAGCCTGGCTGTCGCGGAGCACCGGGGCATCACTCCCGATGTCGTCGCGGACAACAGCTCTACGTCCGAGAGCTATTGGTGCCACGAGCAGGACCTTCTGCGCGACGTCGTGCGGCAGCACACTTTTTTTTTAACAAGCGCAAGCGGGCCCCGCGGCGAAACGCAAGGAGGAGAGGAGGAGAGGGGGGAGGGTGAAACCGCCGGCAGGCAGCCCCTGGGCTGCGCCGCATCCGCCTAGTGCGGCAGCACACGCTTCGCTATAGTCGGGGCTTTGCCTTTCCCAACCTGTTCATCACCATCGCTCCGGCTGAATGGAAGGTTCTACTACACCAGCCTCTATTCGCGGACTGGAAGGCCGAGAATCGTCTGTCTGCGTGCCAGGGCATGTTGTCCGAGCACATCTATGAGCTGCTGTGCGATGCCATGAAACAGATTCTACGTCCCAGCGAATTCTTCAGCGAGGTCCGCGACTATGTCATCCGCCTCGAATTTCAGGGGCGCAAGACGCAGCACATCCACATCGCGGCCTGGGTGATCCATCGGCAGGTTCTATCTGGCCGCTGTGGTACGGGGGACATCTCGCCGTTCGTTCGCTTCCTGGAGGAGGTCTTCCGCGGGTCCGTGGACGTGCAGCACGGCGAGGGTTTCCTGAACTATATCAACGGCAGCGTGGTCAGAGGCAATCAATCTATGGATTATCAGCCCGATGCCGCGCGCAGCGGCGGGGATGACCACTCGGCGTGGCGCACAACCTATCGCGTGCTGTGCAAGCTGGCCCCTGGCCTTCCCGAGGTGTTTCTCGACTTCGCGGGCGCTGCGCACATCTATCGGACTTTTGCCGTGGTCAACGCGTGCGCTATCATGCCGGGGAGGCGGGACCAGGGCGACAACGACACCAAGCGGCTGTATGAGCACTATGTCGCACGTCTGGTTGTCTCTGGGGAGCTCGACTTCCACGGCAGCTTCCTGAGCTGCATCCGCACCTATGCGTGGAAGGACGCCAAGACTGTGACCAAGCGCAGAGGCCGCGGGCAGGATTGCCTTGTCGCCGTCGGCGTCCGCTATGCCTTCGAGATGCAGGACAAATTCATCGGGCAGTTCTGCAACATGATGTTCCCGCACCTGGACTCTGCGACCTTTCTGCCGCCGTCGGAGACAGAGGTCATTGCCTTCACCCCGTATTATTTGCGGGCGCTGCAATACCTGCGTCACCTCGCGTGGACGACGGGCACTCCGCCGGGGCGGGTGGACTCGCATCGACGGCGGTTGGCGCAGCAGCTGCCTCGCGCGGTGGGGGAGAGCGACGTGGCCTATGCTGCTCGCCTGCAGGAGGTTATGGACTCGTCCCGGTGGGTGGGCTTTGCTTCGAATGCTAAGGACATCCCGTGGTTGTCCGCTTTGCCTGTCGAGTCCATCACCAACGACCATGCGTCCTACACGTGGGAGCTCTTTCACTATTGGCCCAGCCATGTGATCGAGGGTGACGAGAACGCGCGCTTCCAGCGCCACCCGCTACGCTTCCCAGATGCTACCGTTGGCGCGTGCGGCAAGCCTTTCGAGGACGCGGACTCGGCGCTCAACTACCTCGCGAACGTTGCGCAGGTAGATCTTGCCATGCGTGTTCCTCCCGGTCGCGCCAGGTCTTTCCGTGCTCGGCTCTTCGCCGTGCGTTGCTTCTATAACTACATGGAGTATTGCAGGGAGAATCCTTTTGCCATACCACATGCCTTGCGCCAGCAGTGGGAAAAGTCCGACGTTGGGGTGTTCCACTTCTATAACAAATACAGGGAAGAGTGGAATCGCGTCTTCGGGCACCGGCGTCCCGTGCTCACTTGGTCTGCCGACCAGCAGGAGGTGCTGCGCGTGGTGGACGGTCTGCTGTCCAGGGCCGACGCCAACGTTGTCCACGAGCAATTCTACTACGTGCAGGTGGAGCCAGGCAGTGGCAAGACCGAGGTTCTATGCGAGGCGGCTCGCAGGGCTGCTGATGCGGGTCTGCGTGTGCTCGTTCTGGGGCACACGGGCACCCTGGTGCACACCTATAAGACGAAGGTGCAGCACGAGAACATCAACGTGGAGACCATGCACTCTGCCTGGCACATCTACCGCAGTGCGGACACGGTGGTGGACTATGCCCCTCCCTCGCGGCTCCGCTCTTATGATCTCTTTATCATCGACGAGGCCTCGCAGATCGAGGATGCTGTTGCCGTGCGCCTGCATAACGGCTTCAAGGAGCTGCCGCAGCGGCCGACTGTCTTGTTCGCTGCAGATTTCCAGCAGCTGAATCCCCTGGGCAGCTCCGTGGCGATGCGCACCTTCATCACTATCATGACTACCATCACCCTGCACACTATACATCGGACCAACGATGACCGTCTTCTGGGCATCTTGCGGCAGGTGCGCGTCAAGCAGCCTCCGAAGAGCGTCATCCGGGCCTTCTTCGCTGGCCGCGCCTGGGACCGCATTACTCTGGAGAAGGCCGTCGCCAAGGGCAAGGCTATTGGCGATGACATGGGTGAGACTTTTACGTGGCGGACTGTCACCAACAAGGGCGCCGAGGCGGTCAACGCGGCGTGCCTCTCGGCGAACAGCTTGAATAAGCCCGAGCACGCTTCTCTATACTATGGCGACCCGAAGGTGTCGGGTTTCCCAGATGCGGGCGTGGCGCAGGGGTTCTGAGCTTTGCGCTGTTGTGCCAATGCATTCCCGATGCATCGCCGAGGTCGCTGGCGCATCGGCAATGCGACGCGAAGCTTTGACCCCCTCCGCACGATCGCAACTGGGATGTCTGCACTGGTTGCCTCTGGCAAGGACGTGCTATTCATCGCTCGTGGTGTCGTCGCGCGGCTCACGAGGAACCTCGACAAGGAGCGGGGCTTCGTCAACGGTGCCATTGGCACTATCGAGACGGTGCTGAATGACGACAGGAGGACCTTCACCGTGGTGCTGCTGGGCACTGGGCAGCGTCTACTCGTGCACCCTATCACCGACGGCGGTGACGACTTCTGGCCCTGCACTTATGGATATGCGACTACAACTCGCAGAGCGCAGGGGGCCACCCACATCATCGGCGCGCTCTATTTCGACCACGCCTATCCACCTGAGGGGGCTGCGGGTACGTGGGCACGAGCCGCTTCAAGTGCGCCGAGAACATCTATCACTTTGGCTGTATCCGTCGCACCGATTGGCTGCCTGTCAGCATGGAGCGCGATGATTCCGAGGAGCAGACTAGCCGGACGGCTCAGAGCGAGTCCGGCGACGAGTACGGCCCTCGACTGTGGGAGATGGACACGGAGTCCGACTCTGAGGCCGGTTCTTCTGATGTCTATTCCGATTGCGGCGAGGTGGACGAGGAACAGCGCGCCGCCATGTTCGACCTGCTCAAGAACGCGAAGAAGGAGGCTGAGCAGCTATTGCCGCACTTGCGCACGCTGAACGCTGCAGGCCTGCCGACGCCTGGTAGCCAGACAAAGGATGACCCGACGAAACGATGCAAGCGCCAGCGCACGAATATCACAGTGCCGGATGACCCGACGAAACGATGCAAGCGCCAGCGCACGAATATCACAGTGCCGGATCCTCAGCAGGTCTCGGCTGTTGCGACCGCTCTATACGAGTGGATCCAGAGGAAGCCCTCCGACTTGAAGTTCCCCATGCTGACGTTCGGTGCGAATGGGCTATCGCACGACGCCCAGGTGCACGAGAAGTGCCTTCGGAGGCACGTCGCGCAACAGTCTCTGGACAAGGAGGCCTTCGTGTCTATGATGCTCAAGCGCTTAGAGGGCGTGCCGGCGTCGAAGTCGTCGGGGAGTGCCGGTGAGCTGATGGCGTTGAAGGCGTAGACGGGCCTTTGCTATGCTCAGATGTGATTTGTATATTCGGGACTGTTCCCGAGTAGGCAGGGCTATGCAGACGAGGGCTTGTGCTCTGGTGGTCTGCATTGACAGAGCTCATCGCGTGAACTACCAATCTCTTGCACAAACAAGGACTGTGCTCATATTCTCTTGTCTCCCCATTCTCGTCTCGTCTTGCTATATCCATCTCGACTGATAGGCTCATGCTCATGATTCCTGGAGTCGTGCTATCAACCATTGGAACCAGATGTCTCACCGCGTCTGCCTATGTGCCAGCAGCACCGTTTTCTTGACAGTGTTTGCATTCTCGCTGGCGTCCGTCCTCTGTGCCTCTCCCTGCTGCGTGTGTTCTCCGCTGCACAGCGGCCTGTTTGGGGTCCACGCCTATTCACGTATTCGGGAACGTGACCGGGCTCCGTACTTCCAGTTGTACTAGTGACGCCTTCAATTTGTTGGCTGCTCCTGCTGCAGTGCTATCCCGCCACCGTGCTATAGCATGTCATTGCCCAGCATGGGTCCCCGAAAAGTGAGCTCTCCTATGTGCGCGTCGTCTTCTACTGTTACTTGCCCTGGGCCTATCCCGTCACCGTCTATAGCATGGCATAGCATGGGTCCCAAAAAAGTGGGGACCCCTATATGCGCGTCGTCCTTTACTTGCTCTGGGCCCATCCCGCCACTGTGCTATGGCATGGCATAGCACAGCATGGGTCCCCCAAAAGTGGGGGCCCCTATGTGCGCGTCGTCTTGTACTGTTACCTGCCCTATGCCTTTTCCCGCCACCGTCTATAGCATGGCATGGCACGGCATGGGCCCCCAACAAGTGGGGACCCCTATGCGCGCGTTGCTTTTACTGTCAATTGCCCTGGGCCTATCCCGCCACTGTGCTGTAGCATGGCATAACACAGCATGGGTCCCAAACAAGTGGGGACCCCTATGTGCGCGTCGCCTTTTTACTGTTACTTGTCCTAGGCCTATCCCGCCACTGTGCTATAGCATGGCATGGCACAGCATGGCCCCCCCAAAAGTGGGGACCCCAATGTGCGCGTTACCTTTTATTCCTATTGCCTTAGGCCTATCCCGCCACTGTGCTATGGCATGGCATAGCACAGCATGGGTCCCCCAAATGTTGGGACCTCTACGTGCGCGTTGCTTTTTATTCGTACTTGCCCTAGGCTTATCCCGCCACTCTGCTATAGCATGGCATAGCACAGCATGTGCCCTCAACAAGTGGGCCCCCCTATGTGCTCCTTGTTTTTTACTATTTGCCCTATGCCTATCCCGCCATTGTGCTATAGCATGGCATAGCACAGCATGGGTCTCCAAAGGTGGGGACCCCTACGTGCGGACAAGTAACAGTAAAAGACAGCGCACATAGTGGTCCCCATTTTTTGAATACCCATGCCTTGCTATGCCATGCTATGGCATAGTGGCGGGATAGGTACGACGCGCACATGTGTGCACAGAAAAACATTGACAATAACAACATATAGTGACAACTGTGACGGAGAGAAGTGGGGAGGTAGCTGGCAATCGAGACACACGCGAGACAACTGTTAAACTTTAACACCCGTGTGCCCCATACAAGCGAAACGGTTCGGGCAGACAGCCCCTAACGAGCGCGACGGATCGGGTCGGGTGTTGGCACGCGAGTACCCTAACGGACGGGACGGGTCGGCCAAGCAAAACGGACAGGACGGGTCAGGTCGGGCGAAAGAGATTCTGCACGCATACGCAGCAAATGATATTTTTTGAAAGCGAAAATCTGCTCGCAACGGGGGCCGGGCATTTTGTAGTGTAAAATACAAGAGATTTTGCACGCATGTTCCGCACATGCTATTATTTTGCAGGAGATGGAGCGGGTTCACATAACCGGGTCGCAACGGGGGCCGGGCACTTTGGAGTGTAGAATACAAGAGATTCTGCACGCGTGCTCAGCAAATGCTATTTTGTGCAATAGATGACGGCGGAACGCAACGGGGGCCGGGCACTTTGTAGTGTAAAATATGGGAGATTTTGCACGCATGTTCAGCACATGTTTTTCTGCAGTAGATGGAGTGGGCTTGCATACGGGCCGGTTCTACAGTAATTAGGGCTTAATAATTATAGGATTAGAAATTTAGGGTTCAGGAGGACGATCTCGTCTTCGAGGAAACCCCAGGGTCCAGGACCCATGTCATGGCGCCAACACCGCGGATCGGAATTCGTCTGGAAAGCACTCGGATGGGCCCGGGCTGTCCTGGAGAATGTCCTTCTGGACGTCGAAGTGAAATCCTTGTGTTTGCTTCTTTCTGGGGGGGGGAGTTCGACGATCACAAACATCCACTTGAGGCTGTTTTGGGCGCCCCGACACCTCGCGAACCCCCCCGTCCAGGTCCAGGGGAGGTGGTAAGGGGGAGGGGTAAACCTCTCCCCGAAGGGGAAGAAGGAGGGTGGCAGGGGAACCTCCCTAAACCATTTAATTATGCCCAGAGGCTGGTGGGATTCATACCATATTTGTCGCTGGCCGCTTCGGGTTTCTTTTGGCCTCGGCGGACTTCCGCGCAGACGCCCGCTGCAGCACCCCTGCAGGGTCGACTGCGGGGTCCTGGACTCGCCTCCTTCGGGGCCCGCCCCCCCTCCCCCCACGCCAAGGGGCGTCGGGGGCGGGCAGGCCTCCTACCCTGACGCGTCGATTACAGTCAACGCGCCTAGTAAGGACGCGCGCCTTCATCTAGGGTGCCCTTGTGCCCTTGCCTCTGAGGGTCGTCCTTGCCATTATCACTGGTCGCCCGCCGCCCTAAAAAACCCAACTTCGGCCTCCAAGGGTCTTGCGTCCTTACCTCGCGTCCTTACTAGGCGTTTTGACTGTAGTGCATTGTCCGCTTTTCACCACCCACCAAATCACCCAAACCCATCCCGGAGGCTTCAATCTGCCCTCCATTTCCAGTGGGGGGTGGTCCCGGGAACATTTTGAAAAAACACATGTGGAACCCGTTATCCCCCCCAACCCGAGATTCGGGTCTTCGGATTGGGCTGATGTGGTTTGGTAGGTAGTCCATTTTCGGTTCTCCAGGGCGCCGCGGCCGTCCTTTCCCAGGCTCGCGCACGCCAGGTTTGGGTCTAGGCCTCCTGGATGGGGTCGGAGCAGATAGGGTCGGAGGGTCGCGCCGCATCGCCGATGCATCGACGATGCGGCTCGATGCGGAGCCCGCTTCTCTCCACGCTGGCGTCGCCGATACACCGCCGACGTCGACGCCTCATCGCCGGTGCATCGCCGATGCATCGCCGATGCATCGCCGATGCATCGCCGATGTATCGGCGATGCGGCGCGGTCCTCCGACCCCATCTATTCCGACCCCATCTGGGAGGAGGAGGAGGAAGAGGAGGAAGAAGAAAAGAGGAGGAGGAGGGGGAGGGGGAGGAGGACAAGCTAGGTGCGCTCGCGTCATATCTGACGTCCTACCCCTCCCTCCCATCCCTTACCATGGCGCTGATTTTCACTATCGCGGACGCGTGTCGTAGGCGACCTGTGGCTCCGCGGCGCGCTGTGAGTAGTGGGTGGTGCGTGCACGTGCGTGCGTGCGTGCGTGCGTGTGTGCGTGTTGAGATGGTGGTGGTGCTGGTGCTGTGGTGGTGCTGGTGCTGTTGCTGGTGCTGGTCGCTCGTGCTGGTGGGTGGAGCTGGTTGCTGGTGGTGGTTGCTGTATGGTGGTGGTGGTTGGTGGTGGTGGTTTGATGGGGTTGGTTGTGGGTTATGTGGTGGTAGTAATTTCTTGGTGGTCGGTGGTGGTGGTGGTGGTGGTGGTGTGCGGGCGGTGGTGGCTGGCGGATGGGGCGCGCGAGAATG